TGGTGCGCGCTCTCAGGGTGGGAGGGGCGCTAGGCCCGTCGGGGTCGCTGCGTGTGTCCGGCCGGTTGTTTACCTGCTTGTGTCTGCGCGTGTCTGCGCGCAGGTGTCTGGGCCGGGCAGGGTCACTGTGGTCTGCCTGCCCGGTGCACTGGGGGTGGCAGGAGGGAATCGGGGCTGGGGGCTCCACTGCGGGCAGCAGGGTGCCAGCCAGAGTGGGGTGGGTGTGTTTGTTGGGGCTGGGGTGCTGTGGTGTGTGCCTGTCGGCGGGTGGCGGTGCGCAGATGGCGAAGTAATGAAAAGCCGTGGCGTGCCAGCGAGGCCGAGAGGGGCTCTGGCACGGGCCGCGGCCGGAGGGCTGGGGGGGGGGGCGGCAGCTGGCCGCCCGGCGGGGGTTTCCGGCTCTGCCAGCCAGGGCTGTTTATGAGGCTGCGGGGGGGGGTGCTGCTGCAGGGTGTTCAGGGGGTGCTGCCGGGCAGGGCTCCTCCTCACTCTCGCTCCCCCTGCAGGCCCAGGGCCCCAGCCAGTGCCCAGCCCCGCTGGGAGTCCCGGCCAGCACCACGGACGGCGCCCAGGAAGCCCGGGTGCCCCTGGACGGGGCCTTCTGGGTTCCCAGGCCCCCGGCAGGCTCGCCCAAGGGCTGCTTCGCCTGTGTGTCCAAGCCCCCCGCCCTGCAGGCCCCCGCGGCCCCCGAGCCCGCTGCTTCACCCCCCATGGCGCCCACCCTGTTCCCCATGGAGTCCAAGAGCAGCAAGACGGACAGCGTGCGTGCCGCTGGGGGCGGCCCAGCCTGCAAGCACTCGGCCGAGAAGAAGACCATGACGAATCCCGCGACCGTGATCGAGGTGTACCCCGACACCACGGAGGTGAACGACTACTACCTGTGGTCCATCTTCAACTTCGTCTACCTCAACTTCTGCTGCCTCGGCTTCATCGCCTTGGCCTACTCCCTCAAAGTGAGCTGGGCGGCGGGGGGACGGGGGGGGCGGGGAGGATGGGCCCCCCACCTCGGCGCTCAGGGCAGCTCCTGGGCAGAGCTTGTGTGGATTCCAGGACCAGGCCTCGGCCAGGTCTGGGCTGGCACGGAGTGGCCGCCGTCTCCGTGCCCAGCTGAGAAACCGTGGCTCAGCAGAGCCTCGGGCAGCAGGGCCTTTTAGGGCCCAGGCAGGGCCTTATCTTCTGGACAGCAGCATGGGGTCTCACCTGGTCAGCGGACCCCCTGGGCACATAGGCAGGGGCAGCATGGGGGAGGTCCTGGGGTCCTGTGCGAGGGGTGACGTCACAGACCCTGTTAGGCCTCCCCCCTGGGACCCTGACCCAGGCCCGAGGCCCCCAGCCCGGTGGCCAAGGACTGGTGACAGGCTCTTCCTCCTCGCCCTGCAGCCAGTGTGGCACCACGCCCAGAGCCCTGGGTGCGGGGAAGAACTGGGGGCAGGCCGTGGGGACTCCCTACCCCCAAGGGCAAAGCGGGAGGAGGACACAGACTCAGGAAAGGCGTGGAAGACCCTTCGGCTGGGGGCCCCGTGTCCAAGGAAGGGCGGCACCCCCTTCTCAGGCAGGGTGCAGGGAGACGGACTCGGTCCCCTCTCCCGCCCCACCCCTCCAGGAAAGCCTGGCACGTGGTTAGCCAAATCAGCACTCCCTAGAGCCTGAGCCAGTGCACCACCTGCAGCCACCTGGAGAGGAGGGGGGCGTGGAGAGGAGGGGAGCAGGGGCCGTAGGGGGAGCACAGCTTTGGAGGGTCTGGGGGTGGGAAGGACCCTGGGCAGTGCCGCCTCTGGCCATCTGTACACAGAAGCCCCAGGCCCGGCCACCTGGCTCTCCATCCCCTCCTGACAGCTCAGGCCCAGGCCCCCGTGACCCGCCCTGGGCTCCCCACGGGACCTATGCGTAAGTGTGTGGATGTGCATGAGTGTGTGTGTATGCATGTGTGTCTGTTGTGTGTGTATGTGTAATATATGATTGTGTATACGTGCGTGGATGTGCATGTGTGACCCACTACGTATGCCCACGGTGTGTGAATCACGTGTGTAAGTGCACCTGTGGGCTCGATGTGTGTGTGCATGGTGTACATGAACAGGTAAAATGCATGGCATTGCATGGACATAACTACAAGAGTATTGTGAGTCCTTGAGTACGTTTACCTGGGGACAAGTGTGGAGATGTGCCTATGTGTGGATGTGTTATTGTATGCATGTGTGCTTGTGAGTACAAAATTTGTGTGGCTGCATGTGTCCAGTACCTGGATGGGTAAGAGCACATGTGCCTACATGTGCGTGTGGGCATGCACATACATGTTCTCATCTGTGTGTGCACATGTGTGGATCCCTGAGAGTGTGAATGTATGTATGTGCGTGTGTGTGCACATGTGCTAGAGAACAGGATGCCGGGAACTGTGCTCCCCTACCCGGTGTCCAGGCCAATGCCAAGCAGAGGGCACCGCCACCCACGGGGACAGCTGGGGCCACAGCTGGCGCAGCCCGGCCTTGCCTGGGCTGCTGGGGCCCTCAGGCCCCGGCCCGGCTGCCCGTGCTCCTGTCCGGATCCTCCCCTGGTGCCTGGCCGAGGCTGCCGCCGGCCGGCGGGTGCAGGCGGCCCATCTGCTGCGGCTGTAGGTAGGTCAGGCATTTCAGGACGGTGCTGGTTGCGCTGGGTGGGGTGACCGGAGGCTGGCGTCCCGGAGGGTCGATGGGGCTCACTCCCCCCGCCCCCTGCCATCCTTCCCACCAGGCACCGGAGAGGCTTTGGGTCTCCCGGGGAAGGGCATGCAAGGCACGCATCGAGGAGCTGGCCCTGGCCTGGGCACCTGGAAGCCAGCCTGCCTGTCCTCCAGCTGGCCGCCTGCCCGCTGCACTGACCCCTCATGCCGCCCATTGTAGGCACGCCGCAGACCCGAGTCGGGAGGGCTTGGCTGACACCCCAGCTCCGGGAACTGACCAGCCCTCCCGCCTCACTGAACCCTGGGTCTTTCAGCTGCACATAAATGGAAACAAAATGGCATTCAGGCCAGCGCGAGCAGGTGGGGGCTAGCAGGGAGCAGCGTGGCGGTGCCGTGTTCCCGCCGGCTGCCCTGCCCGGCACCCTCTGCCCTTGTGGCCACGGCCAGCTCCACACAGGCTGCTCAGCCACGGGGAGGCCACAGCATGGGCCTGCGCAGCCAACGTTGGGCAGGTGGGGACCCAGGAAGTCACCCCTCCGCCCCTTTCCACTCCTTAGCCTGCCCTCTCCGAACGTCCCCTCCTGCCATTCCCAGGCAGCACTGCAGGTCACACACGTCCTTCCTTCTCTCTCATGGGGTCTGGGTCATGGCTCGCTTGTCCAAGGCAGGGCGCCCAGTGTCGGGGTGAAAGGATGCTGGGTGAGTGGGTGATGGGCAGAGGGCAGTGTTGGGCTGGATCATGTGGCCTGGCAGCCACAGGGAGGAGGCACCATTCCCCCTGGGCCTGGAAGGACAGGGGTGGGGAAAGGCTCTCCAATAGAGGAGAGAACAAAAGCGAGACATGAGGTGGGCCATTGGGGGTCAACAACCCCTGCCCTGTCTTGTGTGGGAGCAGCAAAGGAAGTGTGGAAAGCAGGAGAGGCAGCAGGTGCGGTGGCTGCTTGGTCCGAGTTCAGGACACTGGGAGACTGTCCAGCGACAGAGAAGTCAGAAAGAACAGATGAGCAGGAGGGTACTGTGTTGGCTCTCATATTGTACACACCAGCCCAAGCTTTCCATTCTCAGTATCAGCATTGCCTATCCACCCGTCTGCCCACCCGCCCATCCATCCAACCAC